TCCCAAACTACAGCAAAGTATGTCTTCTACCATGCCAGACTGAAGCAGGGGGATGCATATATGTGTGGAAAGAAGGTTTCTCTAGGCATGGGCATAGCAATCCCTCCCACCAGGCCGTACTGAACAGCAGTGAATCAAGTCTGCAGTTATTCTGCTCCTTAGCATCCTTGAGAGCAAGCACTGAAGAATCCAGGGCTTTCCTACTGATTTGTCTTCAGACACAAAGGCTACTACACAGAGAGAGATAATGTTCTGTTCCTCATATCTGTAATAGACAAAATGAGAAGCAATAGGTCTCATAGGATTCTCCAGGAAGAAGAGTATCTCCCAGGATGTTGAGATGAACTCTCTTCCAGCCCTGTTTTCTAAGGTTCTCATAAACCCTCTCTGCAGTCCTCCATCACAGACTCATTAATCCCTGCAAAGCACAGTATGATGTGCAGTGGAACAGCATACACTCTATGATGACTTTGGCCACAGTTGTAGAAGGGGAAATAGAGTTTTGTCCAATTATCTTGATGTTGGTGTTGTGAAAGTTTCCATAACATGCAATAAAGTCTGCTTGGTTAGAGGCCAGATGCTCCTTTGTCCTTGCTGAAGAGGAAAGGAGCAGAACCCAGCTTGAGCTGAGCACAGGAGAAAGAAGAGGGGAACAATGCCTCTGCAATGTGGTTTTGCAAAACTACCACAGTATTGCTGCTTCTTGAGTCCTGGGGGACAGTATTTGACCAATGCAATACAGTATATTCATCACAGGCATAGTATAAAAAGCTAGATAAACAGCAAACACAAGCCCTCTGGGAAGGGCAAACCAGTGATTAGTTGTAGCAGCTGTAGTACTGTGGGGTTCTGGTCCCACTTCTGTTACTGGTGCCAAAAGGAGAGTACCAAGGGAATCGTAGCAGCATGAAAACCACGTCTGCTGCCAGAGAAAGTACTTGCTGAATTCTGAGCAACGAAGTTTCATCTTTTCTGCTGTGCCTGGACATAAGAGTTATTGATGTGCAACTCAAATGTGACTCATTTATTCAGGGCTTGCTTGTACTACTGCTAGTTCTTTCTTAAGAGGCAGGTGTTTCAAACCCATTGGATTTGGGTCTTCTCAATTCATGTGATGTTTTTCTATGAGTGTAGTGGGTCCTACAGGATTTTCTGTAAGAGAAATTAATTCAGAATGGTATCATTATAAGTATCATTGCTTAATTCACATGGACAAGCTAAAAGCTCTGCTGCTATGCTAACAATAACAAACCAGCTCATGTTTTTAAATTATCAGAAAATAAACTTATGTGTTACTTACCTGCAAAGAGGTTCTACAAGGTCCTTGTCAAGAAAATCATGATCTTTCTTTACTGCAGCAATGTCAATGGGAACCTGGGAGTCTATAAAAGGAGACACAACATTAAGATGACCACTTGCTATTCAAATGAAAATACATTGTCTACATCTAAAATGCTTTGCATTTGTTTCTCTAGTATGACCAATTTCACCCATCTCTGGTTCCCTTCCAGCTGTATCAGAGCTTTCAATCACTTTATTGTTTGTTTTTCTGTTAAACATTATAGTTGAACGTCTCGTGCACCAAAGAGAGAGCAAAATTATTTCATTTTGGCTTTAATAAGATACTCAAATGTTAGCTGTTCTTTCTAGTGTCTAGCACAAACAAATGAGATAAAGGCATTACCAACACACTTTCTTTATCCACATGAGCAACAAGTTTCTCCATTCACATCACAAAGACTTAATGAGTTATTTGTTAGACAGACTTTTCCCATGAAACAGAAATGTTCTGCACTTTTTGCTTTTAATACAGGTCCCAATAACAATGATTTCAGACAAAGGGTTAGTCGAGTAACACAGACCAAAAAAATGAGCTGAATTATAACCCCCAATATTAGCTAAAAAGCCAGACTAGTCTGCTGGAAGCTGACATTTGTAATGAAAAGTGACATGGCTGCAACACATTAGTGGGCTCTGTAATGGTGGGATGGGTTCCAGTGCTGTGGCTGCTCTCCAGACTGCTCTACCATGCTTAGGTACCGCAGCAGGACGCTGGGATACAGGAACTGCAGCCAGCATTTTCAGACACTAATGCTTAATACCGACATAATAGATGCCTGTAAAAAGGACCTTGTAAAAAGGACCTTGTTTTCAGAGACACAGACTGTCTAGAGCTCACATTAACTGTACGGTAACTGTGGGAGCCCAGTACAGGTTGTTTTTTGGAGGGAACATCCCTTTGAGTTTGGCATGCAGTGGGCCTTCTTTTCTATGGGGGAGTTGGTTTTTGAGATACTCTGATTACAAGGCAGACACAAAAGTATTACTGGGCACCCAGGGACTGTGGTAGACACATATCTATGTCAGCTTTAGTCTGGCAGGCTTATTAGTCTCAGTTCCTTGCTGGGTTTAACTGAGCCGGCCTGGCTCCTGCGGAGGCGCCTGAGCATCTCTGCACAGGGCTCCTAGTCCCCAGGTACCCGAGCATCTGATCAGGAGGCAGCACCTGGGGACCTCAGCTGGCCATCAGAAGCCATGGAGGTGTCCCAGGCATCATTCTCCCCACTGCCCTCAGCCCCGCGTGAGGGGATGGACATCATCCGCGCCGGCTCTCTGCTAAGCTGGCTCTGACCCACAAGGTTTCTTGGCCATCACTCCGTGTGTGGAGCCGTGCTGCCTCCAGACCCAAGCTGACCCTGGAAGGTGTCCAGCGGTGTTTGGCGGAGCTGTGCTTTGGCTAATAAGCCTGAGCAGGCCTGAGCCGGCTCTGTGTCTCTGGGAGAGAGAATATGCAGTTTGGGAAAAATGAGGATCAGCTGCAGTTTCCCTCTCAGCATGGAGCTAGAGAGAGCAGGAAAAACCCAGCCCCAGTCCCCGAACAGCTTCTGAGCTCAGCAGCAGTGCAACTACTTGCCCTGCCCTTGGGGAAACTGCTTCCCTGGGCATGAACTTTACAGCTAGGAAGGGGATATGGCCATTTGCTTTGAGTTGGTACCAAAATATTGGCTTTTCTTGCTTTGATAATGTAAAATGCAGCTCAGATTAATCACTTTTGGTAACTGCAAAGTTCTCAATCTTATTTTCAGTAAGATTGAAATTTTCAGTAACTTCCAGTGCTTTTGATCTTATGCTAGACAGTTCAGGAAGTTTAAAAAAAAAGACACCTATGTATTTGGATTTTTTGTACTTGTTTTTGTTAACCTTTCAGTTTTACACGAACTACGTCCCTCTTTTTTTTTTCTTCCTATGGCTATGACGGCAAGAATCTTACTTTTCTTTAGGCACTGGTATGACTCCAGCAGCTGAGGCTCTGTAAAGCAGCCAGCCATGGTCATAACTCAGTCAAACATAGAGTTGGCTGACTGTGAGCTCTCCTGGCAAGGGCCCAGTGCACTTTCAGTACCGCACAAAGAGGAGAAAAACCTACTTACCCTCATAGAACTGAGCATATTGGGGAAATCCAGCTGCACGTAACCAGTCACACGCTTCCTTTGCTTCAATTTCTGAGCAGAAAGAGAAAAAAGAAAAGTTCACACTGTTATTTTGCATTAGAAGTTCTTTTGATTATAAGGAAATAGCAAATAGAGTTGGTAGTGGCTGTTTGTTGCTTAAATGTACAGTCACCACTCTGAAGTATTTTTTTATAGCATCTGAAAATATAATAGGGTCCCTCAAAGAAATCCACCTGCCTCTGCAGGACCCTGAAGTTCGCATAGGCACTCGGTGACCAGGATAATGTGTTAATCACCTCCATGCAGGAGGAGAATTTGCTCATCCAGGTTTGTGGTCCTGTGTCCTGTCCTTCCCCACGAGCAAGTTGTCGGGGAGACGTGAAGATGAAGCAGGGTGGAAATAGGGTGTCAGGGAGCACGCACTGTGTTTTGTCCTGCTCTGACTCTTCTTGCAGAGAAAAATCCCACCTGAAAGCCACTGAAAGCCCTGCCAGAAAAACCCAGTGCAGGTCTAATGTTACTGAAGGGACAATCACACAGGTAGGATGCACCTTCCTACATTCATCCATTTGAATGCCATTATGTAGGCTCCCTCCATAGTCAATAGAGAGATAGTTGCTTCCAAAGGGTGATTCATTTCACCTTAATTAGTGTCTAAAATAGGTGGGATAAATCAACTACTGACAATACTTTTCTCTTGTGGCTGCTAACAGAGCAAGGAGAAACAGCTACATGTACGTCTGTGCAGCTAAATAAAATAGATACAGGCAGTAGCTTCAAGCACTGGACCCCAGACTGCTCACTCTTTAATTTTAATCCGCTTCCAGGCCTGTTTTTGACTGTTTCAGTTATCTATCAAGACAAATCTTTTCTTAAGAAGGCTAGTACTAAGCAGTGAGAAGAGGAATCAGTCTGTGTCATCTCATCCCTGCCTCTCCACTATTTAGAAGTATGGATGCAGCTGATGCTGGACAAGGTTTCCCCTTTCAAACAGCTTTCACTGTGTAAGATGCATTCTACCCCTATGGAAGAGGTGGGGGAATCATAAGTTGGACAAAAGAATAGTCCCTCCTTATTTTGAGGGTGACAGTAGGGATAGGTGAGCGTGAAGGAATGGAAGAAAATCATGTTCAAGAGGGGGACTACATAAGACGTAAAGCTTTCTGCACAGGAGGGGCAGATCCACCCTGTGCAATGACTGAAGAAGAAGTAAATTAACGTCAGCTATACAAAAACAGAGGATAAATTTTGACATGTCTCCAGCAAAAAAACCCTTGGCAATCCAGCAGTCACACACATGGTTATGCACCCAACTCCTGAGATGACTGATGTATGTTGACAGTAGGGTACCTCAATTTTTACCAAGCTCCATGGGCCCATTTTATGGAAAGCAGTGTGCCAGGTCCAGCTCTGCCCAGCACCCACACTGCCTGTTTGTGCAGCTGCTCCCAGAGGAACTGGAGGAACAACTGAAAACAGAGGCTTACCCAGATAAATGTGGGTTTCTGGAGAAACCTGGGCAACATCTCCTTGCTGCCCAGATCTAGACCAGGATCTACCACTTGAACAGTTTTCGTTTACCAGATCAAAGTCAAGACACATATCTGCACCTCTTACATTTGCAAAACGCTAAGGAATGGAGTGTGCAGATGCTGTTTATTATTCAGCCTGAATGAACCAGTCAAGGGTTTTGGCATATTTGTGCCAAAATAGTTGTAAAATCTAGGCATGCATAATACAAAATCATAAATGTAAAACAAGCAGTGGAACTGGAAAAAGAAAATCAGGCTCAGTTGCTCTTCTGCATGTTCTGCCTTGCATGCAAAAAATATTCCAGTTGTGAATCTGTTTTCCACTAAAATGCATTTTTATAGATAGGACATGCTGGTGTGAATTTTTCCCCATGTAATTTTGTTCAAATGACTCATTATACCCCTGATGACTTTACCCACTGAAGCTTACCATAAAACCTGCTTTGAATATACTCTGCAGTATGTGACCCACACACCTTTCTGCTTCTCTAAACATCAAGCCACACCAGCAAATTTTGTTGCAGAAATCAAATTTCAGAACACAAGGTCTACATATCAAAAGCCCAATTTCCCAAAGATGATTAGAAAGCCAGTAACAGCTCTGCAATGGCCGCAATCATTAGCAGTGCTGAAAAGGATTCACCACCAGGTCTTCATTTGCTTTGACATTAGTTCATGTCAAGGCCAAAAAAAGGAGTATGAAAGTACATTCAGTTCTTAACACTGCACAAAAGAATGAGCAGCTTACACAAAATGTGGCTCTCACTACTGCACATCTGTGTGCTGAAAGCACATCTCTATTATGTTCCAGTGAGACTGAATATTTTTATTAAACGCTTGGAAAAAAGACAAGTCTTTATATTTCTTTCTTTTGCTTAATTCAATCTCATGAAATACAGATGAATCAATCCCATTTCAAAATGTATTTTACAACTCAGAACAGCTGTACGTACATTCTAGCTTCATCTGGCCTGGAAGCAGAACTAACAGAGGCTGTGGGTGATGGAGAATGCTACTATTTAATGCTCTTATATGCTTATCATATTTCAGTGTTTTTTGCAGTTGGCTGGTCAGAGGAGCTTGCTGAGGAATCTTCCTGCAGCCCAAGTGACATCTAAAAAGATCTCAGGTTGCAATGGGTGAATAATTGCAGGGAATAACCAAGGAAGTAAATCTTACTTTTTTTCTCTCTTTTTTTTTTTTTTTTTTTTTAAATGAGGCTGTTTGTAATACAATTAACCTCTGCCTTCAAAACTTTGACTCATCTCTTCCATGAAGGCACCTATGGGGATTATTCTCATTTTCTCAATGATAACCTCAATGAACAAACAGATTCAGCCTTGAAAAAGATTTGCTAATTCAGCTTCCAGGATGCTGGATCTTGCACATGTATCAGTGCCCAGTTCCCTCCCATATCTCTCTATCCTTTTTGGTCTAATTCAGAGGACAGCAGAAGTGGAGAAGTGCAATGTGCTGCTGGCCTGGCCAAAAATATGACTTTGCTCATATGAGTGTGTTTCCACTGGCTAAAGGCACCTGTTCCAGCCATTCCCCTCTTGGCCACTCCTACAGTTTAGCTGAAAAGGCACTACCAAGGATTTACTCCACAGCACACACCAAAGGTGATTTCTATTATCTTGCTCTGGGCATGTAATCCAAGTTCTAGTTCAGAATGCAATACAGATGCTTTCATTACCAGATATTGCAATGCTTAAAACATAATTTGAGATGCTCAGTTTAACTTTCTCTTTCTGTGCACATACTCTAATACTTGCTTTTTGTTACTTGATAGTTAAACATCAGTAGAGATTTCTTTGAGAAGGGATGAGTACAGCACCAAATAGACCTCTCTGAAGCTGTCAATGAGGAGTTGCAGAAATACTTTTGGCAGCGTTGATCCAGTTCTGTTCCCATGTCCAGGCTAACACAGGGATCTGAACCAGCCTGCAGCAGCTGCGCTGTCTTGGTGCAACTCTGAAGGTCCTGGAAAACTATGTGTGTTCACAGGTGGCTTCAAGGCAGCTTGTCAACAGCATGGAGAAGGGTTGTCACACTGAGAAAACTGATATTAGAGAGGACATGGCTCATAGTTTTGTGCTAAAAGCTGCTGGGAGCCACAGCTCCTCCCAGAAACATGAGAGCCACCATTGACTCACAAGCAGCATCTTCCTTGGTATGACCAAAAGGCTGCTCACCCCAGCACACCTGATGGTGGGTTTGTCCTTATGCACTACTGCCCTGCTTTGCTGACAGAAAAATTAAGGATAATTTACCTCCTGCTTTCTACTTGCTTGGGCAGCAGTTAATGACAATCATTAATTATTAAGGCTAGATTCAGTCACAAATATTGACAAGCATCAGTATGTCTCACAGTACTTGAATTCTCAGAGGTTTTTTCCCAGTTTTCAGTTGAAACTTGGCAGAAAACAAATTCTTCTTTTCCATTTCACTTTTCTACCAGTAGTGAGTTATAATTGAGATCCACACATGCAAAAGACCTCCAGCCACATTTTTCAGGAGATTGAGGTGATGATCTCCTCATGGCCTCTATATCCTCCTCATCTACCAGCTCTTCCCAGGATGTTTGCCCAAAGTCCCCTGTGCACAGACGTTTGCTGTTGACCTTCCTTGCATCTTGCCCCAGAGGCCCCCCAGAAGTTGGCCCTGCTTTACCAAAACCTTTCAGTGCCCATATGAAAGCAGCAACTTAAAACCTTGTCACAGACCTCTTTGGTCAGCCAAGACATCTTTCCCCTCCTGACCCCCCATGAGATTGTGTCATAATCTTTCCTCCTAGAGTTGTCCCACTGTGTATTAAATTAAATGTTTATTGCAGATACGGGCAGGGTAGCCCAAAGCATATATTGCACAGTAGAGATTGAAGTGCAAATCTCTAATCCATTTTTTCATTTATTTAGGATGAAAGCAGAGTGAAATAAGGAGAGAGAGGTTCACCCAGGAAATGTGACAGACATTCAGAGCATAGCTGGGACTTGGCTTTGAGACCATCTCTAGTGTTAAGCAGGTTTGAGCTTGTCTCCCACAGACCATGTGGGTGCTCTGGCTATTCTGGGGGCTGAAATGAAGACAGTTGCTTGCAGTTTTTCTCTCTCTTCCAGGACTTTCTCTGATTCTTCACAAACTGCTTTGATATTGCCCAACACCAGAAGAAGACTCTAGAAGCCAGCTGCCACCAAAGGGGACATCCTGCCCTGCCAACGCCATGCTAGCTGGCTCCTTCTTCTGCTTCCCTTCATGCCATACCAGCTCCTGGCTAACCCTTCAGAGATCTATCTCAACCCTCTAAGCTGGCAGAAAACTAAACCCCCAAAACTGGGAATGGTCTGTTGTTGATCCACCAGGGTCCTATTTAGTCCATATTAGCTGCATTTTAATCAGCCCAAGAAAACCAAACCACTAGGACAGTCCTTCCTCACATGAAAGAATGCAGAATTGTCTAAAAAAGTTGTTTGGAGAAAACTGCTCTGTCAAGAGAAAATAATGAAAGTTAATTTCC